GACTTTTCATATTAAGATCTCTACTCACCCATAAGAATATTTGATCTACTTGTCCAGTATTCTGAAGACATGGCATGATGAGAATAACAATGAAGGCCTTTTAGGCTTTTATCTTGAATAGTTCCTGAGACATTGTCATTCAAACATAGCCTTGAATTTCAACATACTAAAAGTGGGAAGAAGGGCAAATTAAAAAAAAAAAAAAAAATCTTCCAAGGGATTTGATAGATTAAGCTAAAATATCACAAATTATTATTAAACATGTCCATGTTTTATGCTATAACTTTCATCCATCCATCCATTATCTATACACCGCTTAATCCTCACTAGGGTCATGGAGGGGCTGGAGCCTATCCCAGCTGACTTAGAGCGAAGGCACCCTGGACAGGTATGCTATAACTTTTTTAAAAATTTTAATTTTATTTTTTTTCTTAAAGAAAGTCAGACAGGGTTAAGCAGAAAATGCTCTAAAAATGTGATGATTTGAGATGGAATAAGTCTCTTCCAGTATTTGATGGTGTTGTTTCTGTTGACTGCACTTACTGGAAGCTGCCTTGGTTTTAAGTGGACTATATAGTGTACAAAGAGGGAAATTTATCTTACAAATTTTCACCTTTATTGCAAGAATAACTAAATATTCTCTCTAGGAACACATTAATAGTGTTGCACTCTTACCCACAAAGATTCTGTCGTTCACCGCTGGTAGCAGCATATGATCTCTATGCAGTTCATTTGGACACGTCTATAAGAGAAAAGGACAGTGTTTTAAAACAAGGTGTAAATGCAGAATGCATTGGGACTGCAATGCAAACCAAAAGTAACAGAAGTGACTGGTCACACATGCCATCAATCTGATACTGGAAAGGTGTGGGGGTTTCTAAAGCTAACATTCTAAAGGCTCCTCTGATGGAGCACACTGACCTTTCAATAGTGGAAATACCCACTGGAAGAATAGATTAACACCTTTAAGATGGGCTGCAGGGTGGTGCAGTTGGTAGCACTGTTGTCTCGCAGCAAGAAGGTCGCCAGTTCGTGTCCCAGTGGGGGCACCGGAATCTTTCTGCGTGGAGTTTGCATGTTCTCCCCGTGCAGCGTGGGTTCTCTCTGGGTTCTCTGGCTTCCTCCCACAAGGTCCAAAAACATG